ACACGCTGCTTGCGCTGGAAGAGCTCCCTGCTCGCTCAGTTCTGCCCGTGGCAGTGCAGTGCTGGTGGCTCAACCTCCGCACTGCCATGGGAGAAACAGATTTTGGGGTGGTCAGACCCATATGGATTCAGATTCATATGGAAAAGGGAGCGAACACAGCATGGGGAGAGGCCTCCGTGCAATCTGCTGCCCCCAGCACGTTTTTGGGCACAGGGAGGGGACCTCAGCCCTGGCTCCCTGGCTCCCAGGGGACGATGCTCAGCCCCTCAGGTTTCAGATTTTGTTGTTTCCCCTCTCTCCAAACAAGGGGCTTTCTGCCTGGGTTGACAAAGCAGACCTGCTTCGGAGCCCCTGAAAACCCCAAGAGAAACAAGGAAGGAATAAACCCAGGAGGACGAGACCCAAAGCGCCGTGCCGGAGAGCCCTGGAGGTGGTGACATGGGGCTGGCACCCGGTGCCACCGAGGTGCCACCCAACGGGTCTGGGCATGGGATCAGCTTCAGGAACAGGGCTTGGTGTGGGGAAACACGGGTGCTGCACCCACCCCAGGTGCCCGTGACGTATTTTGGGGCTGTGGGGTCAGTGCGTGCGCAGACGGGGTCGCAGCCACCCTCTCGCACCCCTTCCCCTCCGGCTGGCGGCTGCGGCAGCCTCCGGCCGTGGGGAGCGGGGAGGGGGGGGAGAGGCTCTATTTTAATGCACCGCTGTGGGTTGGTGACCTAGAAAAGCAGCTCGCGGAGCAAGAGTGTGAAGTCCAACCTCCCCCGCTGCGAGCGGCGCTGCCGTGCCGCCGAGCGCGGGGTGACCTAAATAAAGCGCTGGGGGAGGCGGCGGGGGGGTGCCCCTCTGCAGAACCCCCACCCCGGGACACGGGGGCACCCAAGGGCCACGTCCATGGGTCCCCAGAGGGGACAGGAGGTGGGTGCCAGCAGCAAAGCCCTGTGGTGGCTGGGACGTGGGGGACACCGGTGGTCCCCGGGCCATCCATCGGCGTTGCCAGCAGCGACGGCGCTTGGTTTTCGGGGAGGTGTTGGCAGCGCTGTAGGGAAGCTTTGCCACGAGTTGGCGGGTCGGAGGGGAGGCAGAGCTCGGTGCTCTCCTCTTCTCAGCGCGGCCTATCAGACATCATTTCAATAATTCAGAGCTCGCAGGCGTGCGCTCTGGGCAGGCTCCAGGCGGAAACGCAGCCTGGGTATTCGCAGCCGAAAGCGGCGAGTTTCGGGGCTGCTGCACCCAGCCGAGCGGAAGCTACGGCAATTAATTAAATCAGTAAATAAGTTCTACTAATCCCATTAACAAAAGAGGAGCTGGAGATTAAATCTTTCATGGCACTTACTGCAAAATTAATGCAGCCGGTCTTTTAGGAAATACATTCTTCCCCTCACCTCACCGAGGATAATAGTGCCGTTATATAGGACAGAGCGTTATCAGGAATGAAAAATGAATGTAAAACTAGCACATATCTTATTAAAAGAGTGTAATGAGCTGGCTGCGGTGCCTCCACGATCGAACGGGGCTGGCTGAGCCCGGGGCTGTGCAGTTTTGGGGGCTGGGGGCTGTGGCTCCTGCCTGCCCTGTGCCACCGGGGGCTGTGGGTAGGGGGAACGGGGTGCCCTGAGGGATTTGGGGTTCCCCTTTGGGCTTCCTCGTGCTGTGGTGGGGAGCAGGTTGGGGAGGGTCTCCTGGGGCTGGGGGATGCTGGGGGGCTTTGGTCGTTTGGCAGCCCCGTGTGAGCCTGCTGGTGACGTGCTCTGGTCATTCCTGCGGGGTTTTAGGTTCTGCATCTCCTGGTGCGGGACCTTGGGATCACACCCGTCAGGTTTATGTGTGGGTCATGGTGCTTCAGCAAGGGCAGAGCAGTGGCCGCAGGCCAGCTCCTCACCGGCTCCTTTCCTCCTCTTCTCTTTCAGTATTTGGAAAGATTGATGAAGAGCTGTTGAGCTGACCACAGGGCAGGGGGACAGCAAATCCCCTGGCACCAGCTCTCGGAGCAGCGGGGTGTCCCCATGACCCCCCGACACCTGAACCAAGTGGCAATGGGGAAAACTTGCTTTCCTTTTAAAATATATAAATATTAATTATTATTTTTTTGCATTTTCAGTGCTTTACCCATGGGAAGGAGCATCCCCGGGAGGGTGGCGGGGCTGAGAGAGCTCTGCTTTTCCAGAGCAACCCCGTGCCACGGTGCAGGGCTGAGGTCTGGCACCCGCCTCCGCCCCCTCTCCATCGCGTCCCGCTGTGCCTGCCTGCCTGCCAGCCGTGCTGCATGACCCCGATGTGTCAGGGGAAAAGCTCCAGTTCCCTTCCACCGGGGAGCAAAATGCCTGTAAAACACCATTCTGCAAAAAACGCCTGCGCTGAGCGCATCCCCTGCTCCCCGCAGGGACGTCGCGGGGGCGCGACCCACGGAGGTGTCGTTCCTGCGCCACCGTCACCCCCTCGGGAGGGGCTCAGCGCTCCCGGATCTGCCTGGAGGTTTCGTAGGGTTGGCAGAACGAATTTGTCATGTTAGGGGTGGTGACGCACGCCCGTGGAGAGCTGAGGCACCCAGGGGTGTGTGGGGTGGGGGGAGAGGGTTTTGGCCGCGGCACCCGCTGCATTTGGGGTTTGGCACAGCTCGGCCGTGTCCCAGGCACCCAAAACCGGGCACACTCGGGTCTAATTTTGGCAGGTGCCTCAGCTTTCCCCATGCTGACCCTTCCCTGGAGGCTCTGAAGGACAAGCCGTGGTGGTGGCTGAGCGCTAATGAAGGTGGGAGGTTAACGAGCCCTCAGGGGCAGCACCAATGCGCCTGGGTCCGAGCGCGCAGGGCGGGAGCTGAGGCTGCTCTCACGGGGCTGTGTTGTGGCACAGGCAGCTCGGGGGATTTGCTGTCACCTCTGGGGGACCCACGGGTGGTGACAAGCTTGGGAAGAGCTCAGATTTGAGTGATTTTCACTCACTCTGCTGGGTGAGCGAGCTGCCAGCAGACCCCACCAGGGTTTGGGGCTGCGCACTGGGGGCTGCTCCTGTTCGGGGGGGGTTCCCCAGCTCTGGGTTTAGCAGCAGCTGTGAATTCGCTCTGGGTTTCTGTGTGCCCGACCTCTGAGAGTCCAGAGGTTTCCACGAGAGCCTCGGCACTGCTTCTAATTGGGATTAGAAGAAAAAAACGTTTTATAAACTCCCATTCCTTTGCCAGTCCCCTGTGCCACCACGGCCAGCCCTGCACTGCAGTGATCCCGCTGCAGTGCTGGCTCCTCGTCACCTCCCCGTTTTCCCCCTTAGCTGCACCTAATTGGGCTATGAAATGGGGGGAGAGCTTTTTTTGGTGGCGATAGCTGAGCCAGCCCTGTGCCATGCTCTCGATGCTTTGGTTTCCCAGCACGGCTCCAAATTCCCCACGTGGAGCAGGGAAAGCTGCAGCCGGGGAGGGGGAGCAGGGCCCGGACCCTCCAGGTGCCCGGGGGTCTCCGTAGCCACGAGTTCCCCTTTTTGTCCCCCCTTGGTGCCACTGAAAGCAGCGTGGGGACCGAGCTGGATCCCTAAGGCGGGATGTAACGAGTCCTAGGTAATTAGGGGCCCTGCAGCCATAAAAATAAACCTGCGAGGAAATAAATAAATAACACCGCCACGCTTTGATCTGCTGCATGAGATGCCAGACTGCCAACATGTATTTATAATTCAACAAAATTCAAGGCGGCTCCTCTTATTTTTAGCACGCGGGCTGTCTTGGCTGCCCGGGGAATGAAAGTGCCAGGTATTCAGAACAGATAATTGCAGGTGTTCCTTTTTGTCTTTCAGGAAAGCAGGTTTTAGATCTGATTTTCAGATGCCTCCACGAGCTTTCTCCTTTCTGAACCTCCAAGGAGCGTGTCAGGGCACATCAGCTTGGAAGCGCTGCGCCCGTCTCTCCGGCTGCTTTGCATAAGCGCCGCGGTTTTCTCGCGAAATAAAAATACCCAGTTGTGCCTGGAACAGGATGAGACGTCCGCCCGGCGGCTGCTCCAACGCCAATCAATAATACCCAGCCCCGAGCAGAGCGCAGGGACGCGCTCCGTCCTTCCGCCCCGCTGCCTCCCCGGGGATTTGGTTTCCAAGTTGGAGAAAAGTCGAATTTTCTTGAAGGGCTTCATTGGAAGCGGGCAGGGGTGTTTCTGCGTGAATGGTGCAGGCTGGGGATGGGGATGGGAAATGTTCCTTCCTGCCCTGAATCGGGCATGGGGTGGCTGAGCGTTGCGCAGAGCCTGGTGCTCGCGGAGGCAGCCCCGGGTGATGCCTCCCCCCTCGGCTTCTGGCAGCGCTAAGAGCCCCGGAGAGCTTGGGGAGGGGGCTCAGCCTGGCGTAGGACCCCCCTGTGCTGCTCAAACCCCGGTGCATGGAGCTGAAACCCCACAGGAGGCTGTGGCGGGGGGGTTGGCAGCTGGGTTTTGGCTGATGCGGCCCCATATTGAGTGGGGCATGGGGAGGAGGGTGCTGGGCAGGGAGCTGGGGGCTAAATCCAGGTGGGGGGGTCAGAAAAGTGCTGGGATGCCTGAAAGGGTGGGGATGGGAGATCCCTGGGGATGGGATGGGAGATCCCTAGGGATGGGATGGGGTGGGAGATCCCCAAGGATGGGGATGGGATGGGATGGGATGGGATGGGATGGGATGGGATGGGATGGGATGGGATGGGTGAGAGATCCCTAGGGATGGGGATGAGGATGGGGTGGGGATGGGGTGGAGTGGGAGATCTTTAGGGATGGGATGGGAGGTCTCTGGGGATGGGGATGGGGTGGGTGATCCCTGGGAATGGGATGAGAGATCCGATGGGATGGGAGATCCCTGGGGATGGGGTTGGGATGAGAAATCCCAGGGGACAGGGTGGGAGATCCCAAAGGATGGGAATGGGGTGGGCTGAAACGGGCTGGGGTGGGAGACCCCCAGGGATAGGGACGGGGTGAAATGGGATGGAGCGGGGTGGGAGATGGGATGGGGACGGGATGGGGGGGATGGGGTTGGCAGGGGGGCTGCCGCTGGCTGTGCCCGGGCTGGGGGGCGGCTCCCAGCAGCAGAGCGGGGCCGCCCCGGCCACGTCCCCTCCCCGCGCCGCCCCCTCCCCGCTCCGCAGTGCTGCGCCGAGCCGAGCCGAGCCGCTCCCGGCACAGGTAGGGGGGCTCAGCCCCAACCCCCCCCCTCCCCTTTTTCCCCCCTTTTTTCCCCTTTTTTCCCCCTTGGGCTGGGGGTCCCGGGGGTGCCAAACCCCGCCGGGATTGCGTTAATTCGGATTCCAGGCAGGAACCGGCGCCGCTCCGCTTCGCTGCCGGAGAGCTCCGGGGGGCTCCGGCACCAAAATGGGGGGGGGTCGAGTGGTCCCCTGCATCCCGGGGGGGTGGGCTGCAATGAAAAGCAGGGGTGGGGGGCTTCAAAATGAGGAGAGCCGGCTCCGGGGAGGCGGAGGGGGGGGTGCCAAATGAACCTTTTTGCGTTAATTACCGGCATCGCCAGCCCAGGCTGCAGCTTAGCCCGAAAATAAACGGTGTTAGCGCTGCGAGCCCGGGGTTGATGCGGTGATGCATCGCTCCCTTCTGCTGTAGGGGCGGCCTCGAGAGCTGCCTTCAGCCCTGCCAGGGGGGTTTCGGGGGGTTTTGGGGTTGAGCCCCCCAGCCAGGGGTTGCCGCAGCATCCCGCAGCCTTTCCGCGGCCTCTCCAGGAGAGCAGAGCCAGGCTGGGGGGCTCGGGGGGGCTCCAGAGCTGGTGCCCCTGGTGCTGCGGTGGGGTCTGCGTGCCCCCAGTTGGGCTGCGGGATGGATTTCCAGACCCACCGACCCCACTGGGGGCAACCCACGGGGTACATCCAACATCCCTCGCTGCCTCCAGCCTGCCCGGCTCATTTTCCTCCTTCTCAGCCTTCGTTTTGCGCCGTGCCAGCTCTCCAGGAGGGCAGAGGAGCGTGGACAAAGAAGGATTTTGTGTGCAGCCCCCTCTGTTGGGTGTCAAAGTTTTGGGGACGCTTTGCTGGGGACCCGAGAACGGGCGGCGATGCCCACCCTGGTGCTGGGCGCCCTGCTCCGAGCCGTCCCGCCTGCACACAGGTGTCCCCCTGGGGGGCTGCGTCACCGCAGCTGCTGCCAATTAGTGGCAGTGGTTAATGAGGCTCTGCTCCCCCTTAAGGCCAGGTTGATTAATCCCCTGGCCTCGTTAAGCTGGGGCCAAGAACCAGGGGGGTTTGTGGGGCTCCTGTCCCTGCTGTGCCCACCCGTGTCCAAGCAGCTTTCGCCCCGTCCTGCCCTCGTGGTGGGCGCGGGCTCTCCTTTTTGGGGCTGGGGGCTCGGTGATGGGTGAAACCAGCAGCACGGTGAGGGCTGTGGGGGACAGAAAGGAGCCGTGCTCGGTGACCTGCCACCTGTGTGCGTGGCATTGCAGCCGTGAGCATCCTCCATCCAGCGACACGGCGTGAGCGCACCCCGGTCCTTTCTGCTGCGCCGTGGCTCAGGAATTGTGCTGCAGACCTGGTCCTTGGCCTCTGCGGGGCAGCTTTTGGGGTCCCTCTCCACCGCCCCAGCAGCGAGCACTCCCTCTGAGCACGCTTTGCATCCCCGGCCCTCACCCTTGCAGGTGCTTCTTGGAGTTTTACATCACTAAACTTCCTCGAGTCGGTGTTGTGGGGGGGTCCCTGCATCGTCCTCCCATGGGATGGGGCTGGTTCATCCCGGTGGCTCTTGCACCACGTCCCATGAGCATCCTGTGGAGCAGGAACGGTGGCAGCACCCCTGGTGCTCTCGGTGGCACCGCGCAGGCACTGCCTGGCCAGGAAGCCCGGCACAAGTCCCACAAACCCCAACATGATTTTATTTTTTTCCCTTGTCTGTCCTTCTAGCCATTAATCACCGGGAGTAAATCCCGGTGACAGCACCACAGCAGCGCTCGGTTTGTAAAGGAGCTGTTGGAGGAAATGTCACCGTGCTGCTCAAACAGAACGGGCTGCTCGCTGCTGCTCGGCCGCCCTGGGATGGGTTTTTGGAGGGGAGGACGCCGGGAATTGGGGAGGGAGAAAAGGCAGCTTGGGGCAGGGGATGGAGCTCAAGGGGAGCAGAGGCGTTGGCCAAACCCAAGCCATTTGTGGGGCTCGTGGTGCTGCTGCTCCAGGCTGGGCTGTGGTGTGTGTTTAGCTGGGGGCAGGGAGAGCCAGGGGGTGGGTGCCATGGGATCGGGGCACCCAAGGGTGGCCAGAACTCAGAGCACTTTCATTTCCTTGTGTGCCCATCGTCTCTGCATCGCTGCGCCTGCAGGCACCGCCGTCACCTACCTGCTGGCTGCATTTGGTCCTAATGGATTGGGGAGTGCCAGGCTGTGGGGCTGTGCTTCCCTTTTACCTGTGGGGGTCTCTCATGGTGCCAAAAGATGAAATAACCCCGAGGTCAGCACGCGCTGGCTCCGGCTCTTTCCCAAAAGCTGAATTTCCAGGCCTCTTGAGCTCTGTGTTTGCTGCAGCGTGGCCGGAGCACTTTGCCCCCAGCACCTGCCCGTGCCATCCGTCCCCCAAACGCATCTCCCCTGGGGCCAGGAAGCAAACACCCTGTCCGTTTCCTGAAGTGTGAGCCATGAAGCAGCTTTCCTCTTTTACCCCAATTCTCCAAAATGGTTTGCACCCGAGCTGAGGTGGGGCGCAGGTGGGGTCGGGGTCACTTGGGGCAGGTTTGGGGTGCGCAGTGCCTGTGCCAGGCCTGCGGTTTGGGGTCCCCGGTGGCTTGTGCAGCTCCCCTGGGTGCCCAGTGCGGGGACGCAGTGGACAGGATCTGGTGAGCGTAGCCACTGTCTGGGAGAGACGCAGCTAAAAAATGGAGTTTTGGGGATGTTTGTGTGTGTACGGGGGAACGGGGGGCTCGCGGTGCTGCAGCAGAGCCTGAAGTGGTTGGTGAATGCACAGCTCACTCTTCTCACTGCTCGGATGATGGCAAAGTGGTCACCGTCCCAAAACCTGCACCCAAAATCCACACCCCAAATCCCCTGGGTGTGGGGCTGGAGCCGGGCACCCCCCTCGTGCCGCTGCGTGCCCGCGCCTCGCTTTTCCCTTCCCATCCCCAGCCAGGCAGCGCAAATCCCCAAACCCCGGCGGGGACAGGATGGCGTTTGGATCCTAAAAGCTCCCGGCTGGTGGTGACACGCCGAGTGACATCTGCCTGGGCCCCCGAGCGGCGCTTTTGGGGTGTTGGCCGGGGGTCGGGTGCGGGCTGGCGAGCTGCCGCCGGCGCGCTGCCTGCGAGCGCCTTGCGCCGGGCGAGGGGGCAGCCTGGCAATCCTGCTCCCCCGAAGCAGATTAATCGCATCGGGCTTTGTCAATGCAAAAATTACCTCATCATTGGCACTGGCAGGTGGTGTAGAGCAGCAGACTTATTCAATATTTAAGAAAGCTGCATTGCAGAGCCGGGAAGGCTGGGGAAATAGGTTGCCTGTGTCAGTGTCTTTGCCGGCGGAGACGATCTCTGCAGGCACCGCGAGGTGCGAAACGTTGAGCTGGCCACAAAAGCCTGATCATTGCACCGGGAGCCTTGAAAACACTCAATTTTCTCTTTTCTACCCCGGGACGGCAGATACCCGGAGCGCAAACCCCGTGGTTTTTGGTCGGCCCCTCTCTGCAGATGCCCACTCGAGGGGGGCAGCGGCTTCGGGTGCCAGCACCCCCTCGCCCCCCGGTGCCCTGACGTGGGGCAGGGTGGGCTCGCACCACGGGGCTCCCGCAGCCCTTCCCTGGGTGCCGCTGCTGCATTTCAAGCTCTGGCCGTGGAGCTGCGAATTCCCCTCCTCTCTGCTGTTTGATCCCTCGTTATTTTGGCAGGACCAAACCCATGGGGCTCCGGCGCACGGAGGCAGTGGAGCGGCGTGATGAGCATCACGTGGCTCTTCCTCAAGGCCAAAAATTCGGCCCTCGCTGCTATTCCTGGCCGTGCCCGGGCTGCTCCTCGCTCTTCCCTGGCTTTTTCTGCTTGCGGTCGGGGAATTTGGCTCATCCCCACCTGCTTGGGGAGCTTTGGGGCTGGCAGCTCTCGCCACCAGCCTCGGTGTCTGTGCTGGAGGCAGAGCCGAGCCCTGAACCACGCGGGAGATGCTCCCAGGCTGGGTTTTGGCTGGGTTTTGGACAGCCGGCAGGGTCGTGCCAGTGATTTCCACAGCGCCTGGGTCGGCTGCGAGCAGGGGCTGTGGCGTTTTGGAAGACTCTCCCCTGCTGCCACGGGGGATTTGGGCAACCTTGGGCGGAATATTGCCATTTCAGCCAGCGTTTCCCAGCCCCACCGCCCCGTGGCTCAGGGTGCTGCAGCCTCCTGCTCGCTCGGGGTGGGGAGAGCTGCTGCGAGCCGTGGTTTTGTTCTTTGCCGGGCACTAAAAGTGATGCAGAGCAGATCTCCAAGATCTATTATTTATTTATGGGCGAAGGGAGAGGCTCGGGGGCTCCTCCAGCTGCGGGCTCTCATCCACGAGGAACCCGCGGCCTCCCTGCTCTTAGAGAAAGGAGCCACTTTGGGGTGGGAGGGAAAGAGTTGCCCCCCCAGCTGAAGCTCTGCTCCTTCCCAGGGCTTTTTTGCTAGGAAATCCCAGGGTTTTTCCCTTCTCCTTGGCCCTGCTGCCTCCCACCTGCCCTTGGCCACCCCTCGGCCGCGAGCACCCAAAGCTCGTGGCCACGGCGCCCTGGAGAGGGGCAGCGTGGATTTAGGGTCACGTCGCCCCGGGTTTGGGGTTGATGCATGTGCCTGGTGGGGCCATAAATCGCCAGCAGGAGCTCGGTGCTGCAGTGCAGGTGCTGGAGGGGCTGGAGAGGAGCCGTGTGCTTCCTGAGCCGACCTTGTCCGTCCCAGCCTTCTGCTCTGGGCACCGTGCAAAGCCAGCGGAGCGCTAATTCCCCCCCTGCTCTGCTCCTCGTATGTTCATTTCTGAAGTTGTGGAACAGAGGAAATCCTCAGACCCCTGCTAACTCTTCGGGGAAGGATGGAAAAACCCCTGCAATGTTGCAGAGAGGGAAGCGGAGGACGTGGATTTCCCCCTCCCCTCCCTGCTGGGAAAGCTTCACACTTTTCGTGGCTCAGAGTTTGGGGTTTCAGCTCCCAACCCTCCCAGTGCCCCTCTTTGGGTTTTGCTGGGAGCTGGAGGTGCCTTTTACCCTACAAAGATCCTTCTGCCGTGCTCGGGTCACCTCTGGTCCTGCCGGATCCCCAGCCCTGCCCGGCCTTCGCTCCCTGGTGCCGCCATCCTCCTCCTCCTCGTCCCAACACATTTTGGTTTTGTTCCTCTCCTCTTGCTGGGGCTGTCCTGTCCCCGATGGGTTCAGCCCTACCTGAACTCAGCTCCCCAGGGGGAAAAAATCTCCTAATTCCTTCCCCTGCTGGGCTGGGCTGCGGACACAGCCCCAGGATCAGCACCTGCGTGGGTATGGATGGAGCCTGGTGCCGGGAGGTGAAGCCAGGGCTGACCTCCTGGGGAACACATCACAACCCGGGGCCAGAGGCTGCTGAAGTCAGCAAAGAGGTCTGAAATTGCTGAAATCCATCTTTTGGGGGCTGTTCCCCTGTTTTCTGGGACCCGTTTGCAGCCCTGGGACACCCGCATCGATGCTTGGCACCGGCGTTCCCCTGCGGGACCGAGCGGGATGGGTTTCCCCGATGTTTTCCCGTACCAAGGGAAGGTTTGCAGCCCCGACACCACGGACAGGGCTCTGCAGAGGGGTTTGGGATCCGTTTTCACTTTTTTTTTTTCCCCCAGTCGTGCTGCAGGCAGGAGGCAGCAATTCAAATGCAGGTGCTGCGAGCAATGCAGGCGGGGCTGCTGCTGAGCACCGCTTCTGCGCTCTGCGGGGGTGCGGGGACCCACGGGTGGACGGACGGACAGACGGACAGACAGACCCTTAGCACCCACCCGTGGGGCTGGCATCAGCTGGGGTTGGCCACCCAGAGCAGCCCCCACGTGGTATTGCCCTGGAAGTGGCAATAAATGGGTGAATAAACGGCGATATTGGGTGCTTGGGTGGCAACGAGCGAGCTGCAGAAAGGGAGCCGGGCTGGGTTTCACCTCGGTCGGCTTTTTCCTGAAATCTGCCGGTTTTTGCTGCTTTTGGGAAGGCTCTGAACAGCTCCCTGCCTGGCTGAGCCTCTGGCAGACGAGCAGGCACGGTGCTGTGCTCAGGTCCTGCTGCCGCGTCCTCCCCCAGCCCCTCTCCGGGTTGCGTTTCCCAAGGACTGGAGCGAACAGAAACACAACAGCAGGAGTTTTATTCCAGCAGGGGGGAGCTGGGCTTGGGGGGAAGCTTTCCTCCTTTGTAGGGTCCTTTTCCTTCGGAAGGGCCCGGGCTGCTCCATCCCTGCTCCGTCCCCTCCTCGGTGCCAGCGGGGAGGGCGGCGATGACGAAGAGCTCTGCCCTACCCCGGTGGGCAAAATGATGGATTCGGCCCCTCCTGCAAAGATCAGGCGAGGCGGCTGGCTCCCTGGTGGGATGAGTCAGTGCCCGACGGCTGCTAAATAGCACCCGGCTCGCTCCCACACTCACTCCCCAACTCGCTCCCTGTGTCCCCAGGACCCCCGGCGATGACCGACGCGGTGGTGGGCAGCGGCTCCGACCGCTGGATGTGCCCCGGAGACAGGACCATGTCCCTCCGAGCCGGGTAAGAACTGGGGATCCATGCTGGGCACCACGGGCAGGGTGCTGCTCCCTCTCCAGGGTCCCCATCCTGGTGGGACCGGGCTGATTTTGGGGTCCCCAGGCACTGGGGGAGCTCATAGGGGGGGCAGAGCGCAGGTGGAGCTGGTCCCATCCCATTTCTCCCCTAATCCCTGTCTCCTCTCTTTCCCTGTGCCTCCAGCAGCGAGAAGGAGCAGTAAGTATCTCATTTTCTTGAATTATTTTTCTCCTCTTGCACTTTGCCTGCTATTGATGGTCCCGGGAGAAGAGGAAGGATCTCGCCCTGGGTGTAAGAAAAGCAGTTCTGGAGGCATCGCCAAGGGATTTAAGGAATTTGGGGCAGCCTGCTTTCCCCCAGAGCTCTGCAGCCTGGGCAGGGGGTTTAGGGGCAAGGTGCTGAGCAGCCCCCACACCTCGGGATGGAGATGCCACCGGAGGGGATATCAGGGACAGGCTGTGCCACGTGCATTGCCCGTGGGACACCACCCTGGGTGCTTGCTGAGCCTCCACATGAGGGAATTGATTTTTCCCTACTTGGGGGAATTTGGTGCCTGGCTGTTCCCAAAAAAAGGAAAAAAAAAATAAATGAGCCCGGCCCTGGTGGCTGCTCCCCGTCCTCTCCCCGCAGGCTCCCTCGGCCGCGGAAAGGCGAGGAGCTGACGGATGAGGAGAAGGAGATCATCAACCGAGTCATCGCCCGCGCCGAGAAGATGGAGGAGATGGAGCAGGAGCGCATCGGGTGAGCGGCGGCGGCGCGGGGGTGGGTTCGTTTTGGGGGGCTGGAGGGGCTCATTTTGGGGGGCGATGGTGCCTGGGCCGTGCGGTGGAGGGCACCTCAGCGGTGTGGGGCCGGCACGCTGCGCCCTGGGCTCAACGTTTGTATTTTCGTGGAGTTTTCAGCCCAGAAGGGATCGTTGGCGATGGCTCGTTTGGCAGAGCGGAGCTGACGCTCGTTGCCCGGTGCCCGTGTCCTGAGCCCCCCGCGAGCGGAGCTGCAGCTCCCCGGGAGGCGAATGCCTTGCTCTGGGAGCAGGGCTGGGTCCATCGCAACCCCCAGGCACTTTTTGGCTCAGAGACCTGCTCCTCAACAAGCCCTCTGCCAGGCTGACCCAGTCCTGGAGCCTTCCCCCAAGGCACCTCGGAGCGGCACGAAGATCTGGGGTTGGTGATTCACGCTCCAAAAGCGCTTACGAGCAGCATTTCCCCAGCTTTGCGCACTCCCAGCCAGCTGCGGATTACGCTCAGCGGCGGCGCTTCTTTGGATTACATTCACGTGAATTTGGGCAGCGAGGGAGATCTTTATTTTATTTATTTTTTTCCCCCCGTTGTGCGTTCCTGCAGCCGCCTGCGGACCCGTGGTGCGTGGAAACGCTGCCTCTCCCCCCTCGTGCCGGAGCCAGGGGAGGTTCCTGGTCCCCATTCATGGGTGGCCACCAATTTCCCCCCTGCATGTGGGCGCAGGGGGAGCCCTGCCAGCTCCCTCGTCTTTGGCTCCCACCGTGTGAGCTGTAGGATGAAAATAATATGGGGTGGCGTCCGCAGCGGGAGTCCTGTTTATAAGGAAAAAAAAATAAGATTTGGTTAATATAAAAATAGTTTATATGAAGTGAGTGTCCTGTCTAGAGGGGGAAATACTTGGGGTCGCCTCCACAAATCGCAGCTGAGGGCTGTGTCTGGGCCATACTGGGAGCACTGGAGCACCGCTAACACTGCGGGTGGGGGGTCCTGGCTCCCCAAACCCCCCAGCCCTGTGCCCCCTGCCTCCACCGCCCACAGCAGGACGGGAGCCGATCGATTTTGGTCGCTGGGAGGTGTCTGTGGAGGCAGACTCGTGTCAAAGGCAGCCCAAATTAATCTGGTGAAGGGCTATTTTTAGCAGCGGGGTGGATGGCGGCCGGCGGGATACGTGGGCTGGATGCTGATGAGGGTTGTAGGACAGGGGGACAGGGACACTCTGGGCTTTTTTTTTTTTTTCCGGCTCTGTTGTCTCGTAGCAGGGAGACTGGAAGGATAAAGGGAGCTGAATCATCCTAAGCAGCACCGTGGGCACATCGGGCTCGGGGTGAAGGACTCGAGAGCCTGTGGGGTGCAGCAGAGCCATGGCCGTGAGGCTGCAGCATCCCCAAAATGCCTTGGCGGATGCAGGAGCACCCACGGGTGCTCTTTAACCACCCGAAGGTAGAATTTCATGTCTCCGGCCATTTCTGGAGACCTCCTGGGAGAGGATCTGCTATAGGGCAGGGTTGTGTTGTGGTTGGGCTGCTCATTGCCGGGACGATGCGCGCGGTGCCGCGGCAGGTGACCAAAGTCATTAACCTCGGTGGGCAGCAGCAGGGAGGCTCCGTGGGGACCCCGGTCTCTTCCTCGTGCTCAGACAGCCCAAAAATAAAAATAGGGGATGACGAGGGCAGGGTGGCTGCTGGAGGCAGGCAGAAATGTCGCAGGAGATGGCAGCTCCTGGAAGAGACGAGGTTAATGCGTAGCCAGGGGACAGCTCACGCGCTGCTTGATTTTGTGGGATGTTTTTTTGTTTTTTTTCCCCAAACCTCTTCCCTTATTTCTGAGATGGGGATGAACCTGCGAAATTACAAACCTCTGGTAGGGCATCACAGGAACGGGGGCAGCTTTGAAAGCAGGGCTGTAAGGCTCCGGCGATGCTCTGCCTTCCGCTACCTGTGCTCCTGTAAGGGCAGAAAACTGCTTTGAGTTTTTCATCCTGATTTCAGTTCTTTAAATTGTAGCTCAGCTTTTTTTTCTCCTCTTTTTTTCGTGCTGTTAAAATTAGCTTTGATTTTAATATTCAGACCTCGAAGGCACGTTATTGCCCATGGAGACAGGTCAGTGCGTAATTGCGCAGCCGGGCTGTGACCCCCCCCTCGCCTTTTGCCTCCCCTCCTCTTTGCCATGTGGGTCCCGTCCCATCCTGCAGCCACCTCCAGCACCCTGCTGGGGTTGTTTTTGGGCAATTTCCGACCCAGATAAATGTTTTCCACCACTCCTTGCAGTGCCATGGCAGCGAGCATCTAAACACTTTGCGCCATCTCCAAGCACCATCAGCACGCGGTGCCGGTGGCTCCGTCCTCCCCGGGCTGCTGCTCGCTGCAGGCACTCCGTTTGCTCTCCCAAAATCATATTTATGGGCCAGGAGGATGTTATACTACCAGGAAAGTGTTTTACTGCTGTTATCTCGGGCGCACGTTAAGCGTTGCAGATGCTCCGTGTTGCCCAGCCCTGCTATCGTGCTGCCATCAGCCGCTCCCGCATATTTCCTGGGCAGATGACGGATGCTCCGCTCCCAGGCTGAATCCAGGAGCTGTGATGCTCCCAGCTGCTCCCGCCAGCTTCAATTCCCCCCGCTTGTTTTATTTTTTGCTCCCTGTTTTAACGACCTGACACATTTTCTCCTGCTCCTTGACGCCGAGGCCGGAGGGATGGGCGCTTGGAGGTGTGCGTGGTGGTGAGGAAACGGCGCTGTAACCCCAGAGGTGTGCGGTGGAAAGTGATGAACTCGATGATTATTTTATATGTGCCGTAAAAATGAGAAAAAAAGATGATTTTCTAGGATGGAAAGGGAGGGAAGGCCCGTGGGAAGGCAGAGGGCTTGCTCCTGGCCATGGGCAGAGAGGGGATGGTGAGGTCCAGGCAGCCGCCGGCCCCGCGGCTTCTTCACCAGGTCCCAGCCTCAGCCTTTCCTGGCAGGTTCAGCCCAGGACTTGTATCTGAATGTTTTCGACGCTTCTCTCGTGACAGCGTTTGGAGCAGGAAAAAAGCAAGCCCGATTTCTCTGGCTTGAATGGCTGTTTTAATTAGCCAAATGGGCTCCGTTTTAAATGAGTGCCACAGGTGTGCTCACTGCCTGCTGGAGCTCTTCCACCGGTTCAAAATCCTCTTAAGGAGCTGCTTCTGCTAAATGAGAGACTGGGAATGATTTTGCAGCTAAATGATGAATCTCTTGAAATGCCAAGGCTTTTTTTTTTTTTTCCCCTCATTTTTTTTTTTTTTTTCCTGCTTTGATTGTGCCATTTGTTCTAGTTTCTATAATAAGTTTGTTTGGGCTTGCAGATTTCCAACGGGAAGCTGCCTCTCTTTGGAGCCGAGCTCTCGCAGCATGGAGAGGGGGGGGGAAAAAAAAAAAGCAAAATGAGCTTTGCTGCTAAGAAAATAAAGGGTTTTGTCCCAGGAGGGGATGAGTCCGTGCTGAATTTGGTGGGACGTGGGCTGGGAAGCACCGAGGAGCAGGACCCTGGGGAGGCTGACAGCGGAGCGCCGCGTCCCCGCTGCGGGCTCAGTTTTTTGGCTACCGAAGGGCTCCCAGGGGCTCCTGTCGGTCCCATCGGGCATTTTATGGACTGTCAGAGGACACCTCGGAACCCACAACCGGTTTTTTCAAGCTGCCAGCCCTTTCCAAGGACCCAGGCGAAACGAGAGGGGCGCACGGCGACGCGAGGCACGGGGAGCCCCCGGCACCTCTGCTGGGGCTGGGAGCGACTCGGAGGTGCCGGCAGCAGCGGGGCCGTCGTAAATCTGCAGCTGTCATCGGACATGTGGGAAAATCTTCTACGTGCCTGCCTTTTTCACCGCGTGCTGCCTTAGCAGCTTTGTCAGATTTGGGTCACGTCGTGGCAGGAGTGGGGGAAGCCCCCGCGGGCGAGGTTTTTCCACCGTTTGCTCTGGTGGGCTCGTTTCTCCTCCTGGCTTTCTTCCTTTCTTTCTTTCTCGCGCTTCCCTGCGTGGTGTAAATAATGGGTTTTCTCCTTCCAGTGCTATTTTTAGGGCCAGGACTCGGGGCTAGCTGATGACAGCCTTCTGCTGTGGGGTCTGTGGGACTTGCGGTGGGGGGTTTTACCTCTGTGGTACCCAGATGTGCTCTTACAGCCTCACCCCTGGGCTCTTTGTGATTTACTCCAAGATTTTTTAGCAAACTCTGCTCGATATTTTTCCCTAGAAAATGAGAAAGCCAATTAATTCCCTCAGCCTTCTCACTAAAGCCCTTCCAAGATCTCTCGTGGCTGAATGGATTTTATTTATTTATTTTTTCCTTCCATTTGGCCAAAAGCCACTTGGTCGATGTCGATCTGCTGTGCCAAAAGGTGCTGACTGCGCGTTTTTGCGCACGTGGCGGAGTCCGTGCCCGTGGCAGAAGCCAATAGGAGCTCCCAGTATGGTAAAACTATAGGGGGGATGTGATATCCCAGCGGGTCCCCTGGGATGCGTTCCTCCCATGGGTGCATTCACACCTCACTGCTGGCCCCAGGCAGTTGTGGGGCCGTGGTGACAGCCTGGATGTCCCCTGTCCCCTCCCGCCAGGCGCCTGATGACCCGCCTGGAGGACATGCGCCGCAGCGTGCTGGGGGACGGCGTGAACCGCTGCATCCTCTGCGGGGAGCAGCTGGGGCCGCGCGGCTCCGCCTGCGTCGTCTGCGAGGACTGCAAGAAGGTGAGGCTCTCCTCCACCCCCCCACCTCGTTAACCCGGAGCTGACGACCCCCTCGGGGTGCCCCCAATGGCTCTTTTGCTTTCTCCCCAGAACGTCTGCACCAAGTGCGGCGTGGAGACGACCAACAGCCGCCCGCACCCCATCTGGCTGTGCAAGATCTGCAGCGAGCAGCGCGAGGTGAGCGTGGACGTGGTGCCCTGCCCGGGATGGACACAGCCCCTGCCCCTTTTTGTGCCCCATCCCACCCTGAGCCCCGGGACAGGAGCAGCAGCAGGCCAGGGGATGCTTTGCCTCTGCTCCATTTAACCTCATCCAGCCACATCAGCATGGTTGCTGCAGGATGCTCTTGTTTCATGGATAAAAAAACTTTTTTTCATTTTTTTTTCTTGCAAATAATCTCAACATTGAAGGTGTGGTCGTGGCAAGACCCATCCCCGGACACAAAAAGCCAAAGAGCTGATTAAATAGAAAGAAAGGGCTGTGGGGTGGGGATATGGGGCTGCACGTCTTCAGCCCAACGTGCCCACCCCCTGCCTCGTCCCCCCAGGTGTGGAAGCGCTCCGGTGCCTGGTTTTTCAAGGGTTTGCCCAAGCAAATGCTGCCCCAGCCGATGCCCGTCAGCAAGAGCAAGGTGCCCTCGGCCCCCAGCGAGCCCAGCCCCGCGGAGCCCCCCAGCCAAGACCCCAAACTCCCCGCCCGTGCGCCCAGCCGAGGTAGGTGGCACTGCCTGGGGGTCCCGGCTCTCCTCCCCATCCCTCGTAAGGGTGAGCCCTAGCAGAGTGCCCAGAGCAGTCACCAAGGCTGAGCGCTTTGTAAAGGGCCCGTTTCTAATCGTCCCTGCACGTGGAGGGTTTTCCTGTGCCGTGCCATTTGGGGTCTCCGGGCTTGGGGCATCCCCTGAGCGAGCAGCCCCGTGCAAGCCGCCAAAGCGCCTGGGCCGTGTGTCGGGTTCACGTGGGAACGCGGTGCTGCAGGAGCTGGGGATAAATAATAAAAATAGGCAATGTGGGCAGCCGGTGGCAGCACAGCCCGGGTGGGCAGCAGCTTCACCACTTCTCGCTCTGTTTGTGCTCCCAAGGCCAGGAGGACGAGCAGGATCGCTGCGGTAAGCGCCGCCGTGCGCCCCCCCTGCCCGCGCCCTCCTCCCGATGCCTTTCCCGGTGTTTTCTCCCCGTGCTCCCCGCGGTTGGATGCTGCCCAGCAGGATTTTCAGTCCTTAGAAAATCTCCCTTTGAAGCCTCGGGAGGCTCGTGGGCTCCAGGGATGGAGCAGTGCTCCCTCCTGGAGGCAGGGACGGATCCTGGGGGTGCTGTGGGTGCAGGGGTGCCCGGCTTGGCCATAACTTATTTTACAGCTCGCAGTGCTGGTGGGCTGGCAGGGCAGTGACCTCCAGCAGCGGCTGGGGAACCCCTTTAATTCAGACCCTATTTAAACGTGATGGGAACTGGCGTAATTAAGCTCCACCAGCTCCCAGCGGGCTGCTTTAAGCCGCTGGCCCTCCTGCTGGGCAGGGTTTGTCACAGCTGCTCCTGGCCACCAGCACGCCCACAACCTTCCCGTGATTTTCCTAAACCTCCCTCAGAAAATCACCCCGTGCCCCGCTGTCTCCGAGCACCAGGGCTCCTGCTTTCAGCCTCCTGTTCCCCCTCCTCCCCTGTGCCCAGCGCCCCTCGCCACCTCCCCGCAATCTGTTGCGTTTGGCTTTCTCCTTGCACCCGGCGCCCCAGAGGGCGCAGCCAAGGATAAACATCCCATTTGTGTCACCGCGGAGATTTATTCCCCCCTACGAGCCAGGTGAGCGCCGAGACCTTTTTGCGTCCCGTCTGCGGGCTGCAATTTATCAAGGAGCGGCGCTCCGGGCACCCCGCTGCGCGTGGCCGTGATTTATCCGCCCGGACGGTGGAGGAAAATGAGACGCAGGCAGCTGTCGCCGGTGTCTGGCTAATAAATGGAAGATGATCAGCAAAAGGAAAATATGATGTCCTGTCCGCGGAGCTGTCGTGCCATTAGGGGTTGACGGGCGCTGATGGATGCCTCTATCCTTGTTTTTCTCCCGTGCCTCCCGGTGTCCCCGCGGTGTGCGGCGTCCTTTGGACCTCCCCAACCACCCGGTGTGGGCTCTGTGGGGCAGAGCTGTGCCCTGCTGGGTGGCTCATGGTGTGCGATGCTGCAAAGCGCTGGGGGGGATGCCCCAGTGGTTGTACCCATCCTCCTCCTCCTCTTCCTCCTCCTTTTCCCCCCTCGGTGCCTCCTCCTGCCCCCTTGGGCACGGCTGGTGGCCACACGAGGGGACGAGCCTCACCCCTGTGCTTCTGGCTCCAACAGGCAGCGAGGCGACAGCAGCCACCCGGGTCCGTAAGCCAGCCGAGGCCAGGACGGGGCCGTGTGGCAGCGAGGACACCGACGGCCGTGACTATGCCACCGAGAGCGGGGCCACCAGGAGCCCCGGTGAGAGCCGCGCCGAAGGCTGGGCGCAGACGTGGGTGGCCACAGGAGCGCGGTGCCCACTTGTCACCAAGGGGCTGAGATTGTGGGCATTTGGTAAAGCTGAAAATGGTTGGAAAATGCCCAAATCCTCTGTAATTCGTGGGAAAGGGACGGGCTCAGGGGTGTGCCAAAGGGTGGGCGCTTTCCTGTCCCGTGCAGCCACTTGGGGAGGGGATGACACCCGCGTGGCGTGGTGCTCCTGCCTGGTATTAGGAGGGAGCGGTGCTGAGCGTCCTTCGAATTCAAAAACAGCAGGAAAAAAATGATGATTTTGGGGGAAAAAAGGAGAAGGGATGTTCTATCAGGCTGGGAGCAGCAGGGAGCTGGGGGCTGGCAGCGGGTCGGTGCCACGGTGCTCCCCCTGCTGCGCTGCTCCCCAGCAGAGCCATCTGGGTGTATCCAAAATCTCCTCACCCCCCCTGCCTCCCCTGCAGGGGTGAAGCGAGCCGACTCCCTGCAACCCCCACGGCCGCCCCCGCCGCCCGCTGCCGCCCCCAGCCCAGCAGCACCCGCAGGTAAGGACGCTGTGGGGTCGGTCCCTGGGGATGGGGACACCCCAATAATGGCCTGGGGCACCGCTCCCTCGGTTCCCCCTCTAACCACCCCATCTCTCCCCAGCGGGAAGGACGGGTCCTGGGGTGGCCGGACGGGTCCTGGAGGCGCAAGGTAAAATTTGGGGACCCTGCAAGGGCTCTTTGGGGGGGGTGACACACGCCAGGGACTGATGGGGTCTCTCCTACAGCGAACCCACCGCCTGGACCCCCAGAGCCAGCCCGTGCAGCCCCCAGGGAGGAGCGTGGGGGGGGATATGCTGTGCCCCCAGCCCGGGAGGAGAGGCCAGCCCGGCCCCCCACCGCCCTGCAGCCCCCTGCTCCGCTGCGGCAGCCGCCCCCCGAGGAGGAGGAGGAGGACGCCAACAGCTACGACTCTGATGAAGGCAGTGCGTACCCAGAGGGGCTGGTGCCGGGTGGGATCTGCGGTTTTGAGGGGAAACCCTGGGTTTTGGTGAGGTGGCTGCTGTGGGGCGCAGCTCCCGAGTGTCACCGTCCCCCTGCCAACGGGGCTGTGACTCCTGGCAAAGAAATGTCGCAGCTGGGCTCTCCTGTGGTTCCTTTTCTCCGGGCAGAAACAGCAAAACCCTCCCCAAAACTTCAGCCTCGGGTGCTTTGGATAGCTCTGTGTTCGGGAAGGACCTCGGAGCCCGAGGGGTGTCTTTGTGGTTCGGTTTCAGCCCCTGAAACCAAACCTTGGGCTTGGAGATGGGGCAGGACCCTGTGGGCTTTTTTTTTTTTGAGCAGCCCCTACATCCGAGCAGCAAATCCTCCCAATTATTGTTAATCGGGGCTGGGTAAGCGGAGGTGTTGGCTGGGCTTTTAACGAGGTGCCGTTTTCCCCCAGCCACGCTGGGTGCCCTGGAGTTCAGCCTGCTGTACGACCAGGAGAACAGCGCCCTGCACTGCACCCTCCTGCGGGCCAAGGTGAGCGCACGGCGGGCACGGACCCCCCCCGGCCACCCCCAGGGGAGCATCTCATCACCCCGTGCGTGTGTCACACGGCCACACGGGTCCTTATCCCCTTTATTTTGTGGATGTCAACGTGGTGCCCACCCCGTGTCTCCTTCGTGATCCTTCAGGGCTTGAAACCGATGGACTCGAACGGCCTGGCGGATCCCTACGTGAAGCTGCACCTCCTGCCCGGAGCCAGCAAGGTGGGTCCTGGGGGCTGCATCCCCAAAGAAGCACACGAAAATGCCATCAGATCAGGAAAGAGCTTAAATTTTTGGTGACGTTTTAGTCTGAACAAAATTTATGTGTTAGAAATAAATCGGAGTTGTTCTTGGACAAGTTGTCTCAGCTCAGAGGAGCGGCTCGGCTGCGCTCCCGTGCCCAAAGCTGAATTTTGGGTGTGTAATTCCTCCGTCTCGTGTCGCTGCCGCAGTCAAACAAGCTGAGGACGAAGACCCTGCGCAACACCCGCAACCCGGTGTGGAACGAGACCCTGGTGTACCACGGCATCACGGACGAGGACATGCAGCGCAAAACGCTCAGGCAGGAGCGGGAGCGGGGGTGTCCCGGGTGGTCCAAAATTGCTGGATTTTGCATGGATGCGTTGGTTTTTGTGGCCATTTAGAAAAAAATACATATTACCAATATTGCTCTTAATCTCTTAATGCATATAGGTTGGTATTTTCCACGCCAGTGTCCCAGCAAAGCACTAAGGGGGTTCTGAAAATGGTTCTTGCCTCCCACCTGCAGGAAACTCGCATTTTGTTCCTTGCCCCGACTCGCAGCACGTTAAAATTATTGATGTTTTCTGGCCACTTTTGGCTGGGGCAGAAGTGGGTGTCCAGAGGATGCAGTGAGGCTGCATTTTGGGGCCAGGTTCGTGTGCCAGGCGTTGCTGCGACCTGCCTGATGTGCTCTCCACCCTTCCCTTCCCTCCAGGATCTCCGTGTGCGACGAAGACAAATTTGGCCACAACGAGTTTATCGGAGAAACCCGAGTTTCCTTGAAAAAACTCAAAGCCAACCAGAAAAAGAACTTCAACATCTGCTTGGAGAGAGTAATACCAGTGAGTTCCCGTGGCGTTTCTTCATCGCTTTTACTTTGGAGATCACTAAAACTGGCTCCCAGTTGCTCATGGCACTCTCTCCTTTTCCCTTCCCCACCCCAGATGAAGCGTACTGGGACGACCGGCTCGTCTCGCGGCATGGCACTGTACGAGGAGGAGGTAGGAGCCCTCGGGGTGCTGCCCACCACGTGCCAACCCCTCCTTGCACCCTCACGGGGTCCTGCACCACGTCTTCCTCGTGCCCCTCGTGTCTCTGCTCTGCCTGGACCCACCCCAGCCCTGCGTCCCCATCTCCGCTCCCTTCCCCTCGCAGGTGGATCGCGGCGGGGACATTGAGGAGCGCGGCAAGATCCTGGTGTCCCTGATGTACAGCACGCAGCAGGGGGGGCTGATCGTGGGCATCGTGCGCTGCGTGCACCTGGCTGCCATGGATGCCAACGGGTACTCGGACCCCTTCGTGAAGCTGTAAGTGAAAGCTGGGGGCCTCTCCGTGCCGTGGCCGTGCGGTCACCCCCCTGTCCTGTCTCGGAGAGCTCCGTCCACAGCCACCGGAGCGAGCAGAGCGCTTGCCAAGCGCTGTTGGTGATGCTGGAGCTGGGTGGCGGTGCTCCTGCCTGGCTGAAATTCATCCAGGGTGGCCTCCAGCCGGGCAGAGGCATCGCCGCGGGGTGCTGAGGGCGCGCGGGTGAAGATCCCGTTAATTTTGTGCTCGTACACCGCAACCTGTTCCCGGCTGCAGTTGTGGCTGCAGATGGGTGCTCATTGCTGTTCACTGCTTCAGGGGAAGAAAAAAAACAAAAACACACAAAAAAACCAACAATACAACCCTCTGTTCTCCCTAAACACCATCCAATAACTCTTGCGCTGAGCACCTTGCACATCCTTTCTTGTAGCTGAGTGGCACCGAGTGCTTTTCCTTCTCCGTCTCTCTCTTCTTTTTTATTTTCCATTCCCACAAACAGAAGCTTTCCATTTTTAAACCGACTTCCACGTGGATCTGATCAACACCAACTGTGCAGTTCAGCTTCGGGTCTGCAGCCAGACCCCCAGAGCCTGAGCGTGAACCCCGGAGGGATCCCAAATTCTTGGGGCGAAGCCGCCCTGGCTGAGCGTGCCAACCTGGGCTTTGTTCAACACTGCTGGGCTGTTTTCAGCTTTTTTAATATATACAAATCTGACTCCCACATTCCTGGCTGTTTTTATTTTTTTTTTCCCCTTAGCTTATGAGTTCACCCTCTTCTCTGACTTGAATTTTGGGTTGTTTTCTGTTGCCCCCAGTTGGCTGAAACCTGACATGGGAAAAAAGGCCAAGCATAAGACCCAGATAAAAAAGAAAACGTTGAATCCGGAGTTCAACGAGGTAAGGCTGGGTCTCATTTTTGTGTTCTTAAACCAAAAATAACTGTGGGTGACCTCAAATTGTGGGGTGTGGGTGGAGGGGGCCCCCCAACCTTGGAGCCTCATCCACCAGCTTGATGAGAAGCTCGTTAATGTATAAATGTCCTCTCACTTGATTATGAATCCTGGTTGTACAGAGGGGACGTTTGCCATTCCTTATCTGTGTTTTTTGTTTTTTTGGGGTGGATTTTCCTTGAAAGTGTGGGACGACCCAGGTTTTCTCCCTTTGCAGGAGTTCTTCTACGACATCAAGCACAGCGACCTGGCCAAGAAGTCTCTGGACATCTCCGTCTGGGATTACGACATCGGCAAATCCAACGATTACATCGGTGAGCTGCGGGTTTGGGGGGTGCGTGGGGCCCCCTCACCCTGCCCCGTCCCCAGCACCCCGCGGGGGCCTCCTGTGCTGGCTCTGGGGGTTTCCAGAAAGTTTTGAGTCTGGGAGATGTCAGCATCAGCTCTGAGTGTGGTTCCCCCCCCCTCCAGGCGGGTGCCAGCTCGGCATCACGGCGAAGGGCGAGCGCTTGAAACACTGGTACGAGTGCCTGAAGAACAAGGACAAGAAGATCGAGCGCTGGCACACCCTCCAGAACGAGAACCACGTCGCCAGCGATTAAAGGGGGGGAGCCGTGCCCCCCCTCCCGACCCCCCCGCCACGTCCCTGCAGGCCCGACCGACGTCCGTCCGTCCGTCCGTCTGTCCGTCTGTCCGTCCGTCTTCCAGCGCTGTCACTCCTCCGAGCATCCCCTGCCCTCTTCTCTCCTCCGCCTGAAACCGAGCCCAGATTTATTTATTTTTTTTTTTATATATTCACCTCCTTATTTTTTTTTTTCTCTTTTGGGTCACTGAATTATATCCCGGTGTGCGACGCTGTCGAGCAATAGTTCCCCGTGAGCATCCCTCAGCCCTTTTTTTTGCTCCGTGGGGTTGGGGTCACCCCACGAGCTCGGGAGCTGCAGCCCCGAGGTCACCGCGCCCCCTTCCCAAAAGGTGGGAGGGAGGTCGGGGGAGAAGCTGTTTCCCACCACCGAGCTCTGTCCAAGGATTGTTGCTTTACGACACCACAACCACTGGAATTAGCTGGGCCAGTCAGAGGTCTTCCAACCGATTATTTATTTATAGATTTATTTATTTATTGCAAGTCTGCACAAGAGCCGGCGTCTTCAAGCCATGCCGTAGCCGTTGTCTGGAGGTGCTTTAGTTGCTAGCGCCAGCAGGAGAGCCGAGCCTCTCCCGGGCTGCTCTTGATCATTTTGGGTCCCATTTCTGCTTCAGCTGCTCTTTCTGGCCAGCCTCGAGCGCAGCAATGTCCCCGTTGGCACCGCTGGGACACCGGTGGCCGGCTCCCAGCTCTGCGTGCCGCGCGGCGCCCGACCCCAAACCCCTCTCTGCTGTAGCCTGTGCTATGGTCTGAATCCAGCTGTGCTGCGGAGCTTCCTTTTCACTTGGTTGGCTCGTTTTCCTATGCTCAGTTTTATTTATTGATTTATTTATTTCTACATCCTTCCCCCAGGGAATTTACCCCACGTAGGTACTCGCAGTGAGCATCTTCCTGGGGCTTCCCCGCACAGCATACCCCAAAGTGCTCTCTGCGACCACCTCTCCCGCACCAACCACCCCCTTCCTTGCCCTTTCTCCTCGTCTATTTAATTTATTTTAGGAGCCCTGTGACTGTGGGACAGTCCCCAACCAGCAGGAATTGATCACTCCCTTAAAAAAGCCTCTCCATGGGCATTCCATGGTCACTGCATCGTTGAGCTCTTTATGGGGCATCCTTGTCCTCCTGTGCAGTGTGCTCCCTTTTTGCTTTTAGGACGCAGGTGTGGGGTGTAACCAAGAGCACCGACTCCTCAATGCCCTTAACCATGGGGGGCTAGCAGGGGGCTGCCTGAAAAGAGGATGAGGATGCTTTGAAAAGGGACTCTGTGTGCATTAGGGTCTTTGTGGGTAAGTGCCACATCCTGGAGGCCCCAAGCTGTGTTGCCCTCCGAGCAGGCTCTGCAGAGGATCCGGGTGAAACAACCTCTTTTTTTGGGGTCTTTTCCCTGTGCTGGAAGCCCATCCCCAAACATGATGGAGAGACGTCTGCTTGGGGACAAAAACACCTTTAAAAAAATAAAACAAAAAACCTCCAAGCACTTCACCTCTCCCAGCTGCGCACAGCCAAGCCCCCTCCCTGTGTGCAGAACTATTAAATTAGGGTCGCTTTTATTGGGGTAGCTTCCTCGTGCCCTGCTTTGCCTTCAGACGACCGCAGCTCAAGCCATCCGTCTGCGCCCATGTGCAACTCGCTGCTCCCCTGCGCAGTCCCGTGCAACGCGCCCCCCTTGTCTCCACTGCCACCTCCCCCGGAGTTTTTTCCCATCGTGATTTCTGCCCTGAATGACTTCTTTTCGTTGTAAATAGAGCATGCACACATGGATTGGGAATGGTATATTTAAAAAAAAAAGCCTCTTCTACTGCTGTTTGCATTCCAACTCGCATGCAGTGATTTTACAGCCAAATATCCAGTTTACAAATAGTAACGAAAAGAGAAAATGTTACACAGGAACTAGAAATCCTCCAGTCTTCCGCTGCATGCAGCACAACATCCTCTCTTGATGTGGTATCTAATAAAGTGAGACTATTGGAAAAGAGAAAAAAAAGCGAAGTTTCTCGGCTTCTTTTTGTTCCCCATGGGTTTATGAGCCGTGGACGGGGGGGTCAGGAGGTGGCGTTGGGTTATGCTGGGTGAGGAGCAGCACAGCAGGACGGGGGGCTCCCAGCTTGGTTTTGCCCACCCAAGGGTGCAGTGGGGCTGCTGTGGGGTTTGGTGAGGCTCTGGGTTTAAGGCCGGGGTGGGGTGAGTGTTGAGCATCACCCCGTGGCGTGAGGCTGAGACACCCGTGGGTGCGGGTGCCGTGGGTGATGCCCATGAGTGGCACCCGCCCTCTGCCCGCTGTGCTACCCCAGCAATTTTTTATTGTTTTCTCTTTTTTTTTTTTTTATTGTTTTCTCCTTTTTTGGGGTATTTTTAGGCTCGTTTTCCCACAGCCCAAACCATGGGGGGGTGCACACCGGAGCGGTGCCACCCCGTGTGGTGTCAGCGAGCCAAGACCATGCCCCAGCCCTGGGCAGGGGGACGTGGGGTGGTCCCCATGGGGGCACCCAGCTCCTCCGTGCCCCCAAAAAAGAGCTCGTGGGGACGGAGCCAGGAGCTGGTGGCGATGCCCAGAGCCAGCAGAAGGTGTCACTGCTGCTCCGTGCACGGCACCGGGATGCTCCCCCTGCACCTCCAGCCCTGGTAGTGCCCCTTTCCCCTTTTATCGTGTGCGTAAAAGCCAGCAGCAGGGCGCAGAAAGACATATATCTATATTTATTATATTTATATTTATATTTATATTTATATTTATATTTATATTTATATTTATATTTATATTTATATTTATATTTATATTTATATTTATATGTGTTTTTTATTTAAAATTGCCCCGTGGTGCTGGCTGCATGAGCTGCAGCATGGGGACCCCGAGCTCTCCAGGGCTCCTCGTGCTCTCATGCACGCTGGCACAAAAAACTGCCTGAGGTTCTCCCCTCTTTGGGGACAAACTCTGAGAAAAAGGGGAAAAATGGCATTATCTCCCGGTGAGCTGCAGAAGGTGCTGCCTTGTCTTTGTGGGATGGTGAACCCGGAGCCCTGCAGCTGCCCCAAAAGCTGGAATTGGGTTATTTTCCAGCAAGCTCGAGGCTCTCACCGTGTGGCTGTGGCAGGGCGAAGAGCAAAGCCCCGTCCCCGTGACCACCGTGCTGCGGGGCCCGCAGAGTTCCCCTTTTTCTCTTGCTTGTTCTCTTCCCAACCTCCAGCGGCAGGAAACAGGCAGCCCTTTGTCGTCCGAAAACCAGTTCCTGGAGACGTCTAGCGGCCCCAAAACTGCGCCGTGACTTCCTTTTTCTGGCTGTGGTTGTCCAGCTCGAGAGCTTTGTGCTTTTTTCCTCCCCGTGCTCGCCCCGGTGCTCGTCGCAGCCACCCCGTGTCCCCCCTGGTGGGCACCCACTGAGGGACCCCGCGCCCTGGCACTGGGATCCCACCCGTGATCCCCCACCAGCTGTGAAATCCTGAATGGGAACGGCTTCAAAAGAGAGGGAGAGAAGCACCTGGGGGTAAAATTGGGTCCTTTGTCCCCCCGATTTATATTTCTGCTCCCATTTTCTTCTCGCCCTCTCTGAAAAGGAAGCCCTTGGGTTGTGAATTGTGCTCAATCGGGACCAGAATTTGCTTGTCCTGCTTTTGGGGGTAACTTGGCCGCTTTAATTACATGGCAGGACCTCGGAGTGGTTCTGCTGCTCCGACGAGCTTCCTTGCGTGCTAATTAGATTTAGGCCCTCGGTGCGATCGATGGATCCTCATCTCCGTACCGGCCGAGCCGGTCACCACCAGTAATTTACAGCTCCAGTTGTTCCCAAATCAATACCGATTTGCTCCTCATTTTGAGGGCTGTAAAGCAGGGGTGACAGCAGGCACTCGGCGTGGAAGAGGAGCCCTGGCTGCTCCTGGAGACCAAACCGGGCTCTCGCCCCTTCTGCTGGAGCAGGCGGCGTGTGTCCGGCGTGATTTTCTCATGGACTCAGGAGCAGCAAGCGAGGACGAGGTGGTGGGGGCCACGCAGAGCTAAAGGACACCCCCATGGGACCCTTAGGGTTTGTGCAGGGAGGTCCTGAGGGTCCCTGCTTGCTGCAGGGAGATTTCTGGGCATCCCAGCTCCCTCTCTTCAGCCTTCCCATGGACAGGATTTCCTTCTTCCCAGGAGAAATAAATAAATAAATAAAATAAATAAAAGCAAACTTTTACTATGTAATACTCCACTTAGAAACAGAGAAGCTACAATAAATAAACCCCTTTTCTACCCACTTCCAAGCCCAGCTTTTCCAAATCCCGCAGCCACAGATCTCTTCATCTCGTAGGGCACAGATAACGATGTAATTACGAGCTCGGATCAATGGCTTTCGTGCCCTCGGGGCCGAGCCTAAAAATAAACCTCTGCCCTGTCACTCGGATGCGCGGAGCTGTGGCTAGCACCTCCCCTGGGCTGCTGGCCCATTGATGGGTGGTTTTGGGGTTGGGGCAATCTGCCAGGGGGTCGGAGAGAGCAGAAAGGCTGAAGGAGGAGCTCTGCACCCCCACAGCCCCCCCCCAGAATTTTATTCTCTTAAATCCAGCTCCGTTACCCAGGTGCTCAGCGATGGGTTGCAGCAGCACCTGCAAAATACGGGGACGCGATTTAGCAGCCGTGTGGGTTCTGGGGGCTTTCTTGGGAAAACAAAAATCCCCCGAATAAATATCATCCCCTTTTTATTGCGCGCTGCGTAACGGGAATATAACTTACTGCCGTCGGGGAGCGGGGCGCTTGGCAGCCACCATAAATCCCCGCTTCCAATTGACTCCCCCTGCGCTTAAACAAAAATAAAGGATGTGCAGGCGAGCAGCAAGCACAATGGGAGCAGGGAGAGGAGTCCTTTGATTAATCACGGGCTGAATATTAACTGGGCGTGATGCTGATTTTGCTTGTTCAGACGGAGGCCCCACAACGTGTACCTGTCTGCGGCTCACAGCTGACAAATGCGCAAAGCCCCGCTGGGTTTCCGCCAGCTGGGAGGGGATTTGGGGGGCTGGCCCTCCCCCGGGGTGGGCTGGTGATGCCCACGTCACCAAATTGCTAGGAAAAAGTGGCTTTTAATTAGATATTTTTTTAATTTTAATTAGAAAATGTGTGCAGGTCTGGGCTTCCTCGCTGTGTGGGCTCCTGGATAGCATCAGCCCTGGGCTCAGCAGCTCCGCCTGCTCGCAGGACACAGGTTTGGGCAATCTGGTCCTCCTGCACCACAGCCACCTGGGTTCGGGTTTGGGCTCGATTCCAGCCCAGATTAAAAGGATCTCAGAGCCCGAGCCAGGTTTTGGGGAGGCAGCAGCCAGCTGCAGGTGGGGCTGGCTTGGCACGAAGCGAGCGAGCGGATAGGGGAAAATTCTGTCGGGGAAACCTTAGCAAGGCTAAAACTGAGGCCACAAGAGGAACTTGCGGCTGTGCTGAGTCAGAGGTGGAAAATTGCACCTCTGTGTGCTCCTGGTGGAGTTAATGTTAGCTGAGAGCAGCTCGTTACGGATCGTGGGACTCGCAGGAGGGGTGATGGGGCTGAGCATCAGCGGGACCTTGTAGGGGATGTGTTGGGGCACACGCTGTGTGTGCTCAGCCCAAGGGGTCAGCAGCACACAGGGGGGTCTTTTGGGTGATTTTTGGGGATGTGGGGAGATGAATGAGAGCAGCTGGGGTCGGGCAGATGTCTCTGGAGGGAGCATGGTGATACACGGAGCGGGACGTGGCACCTGGGGCAGGTTGGAAACCGGAGCCGAGCAGGTTCTCTGGCTCCATCAGGGATGGGGAGATAACTGGAGTCTCCTTACAGCGCTGTGATAAATCCTTCCAGAAACTGTCAAAGCCAAAAAAAAAAAAAAAAAGGCTCGTCTCGATGACACCAAACCCCAAGAAGAAGAAGAAAAGCTGCGGCCGATGAAAAGCCGAAAGGAGGGATTGTTGCTGGGTCAAAGGGAACAGCCACGGGGGTGAAGCTCCGGGGTTTATAGGCAGGGTGGGCTGGGGCTGAGAGCCGAAGAAATTCACGGGTGTCTCTGTCGCCTGGCTTTGTCCCTGGGCCGAGGGTCAGTGTGATTAATTAAAGGCCAGCCAGGCAGGGCTGAATAGCCGATTGTTATCTACCTGATAAGAGCCCTGCCATGGAAACCCTGATTGCTGCAGGGAAGCTCTCCACAGCCTCCGTGAATGGCTTCGGGGTGGTTTGACCAGCAGGCTAACGAGGAGCGCGTCCCCGTTAAATCCAGAAGTTTTGGAGGTGCCACACGAATGCTGCTTGCCCTGCGGGGCAGCCGGGACCCCTGGGGGCAGGATCCCCCTTGGAGCACGTAGTGCTGGGGGCATGGGGGACATTGGTGCTGCCACCTGCCCCATTTGGGGCTCGTGCTCGTTTAAAAAGGTGCTGGCCACCACCCCAGCACCCCGCTGCAGAGCTCTGCCACCCCAATAGATCAGAGGGACTTGAATCATTTCCAGGGCTCGGGGGCCTTGCTCCTGCCCCACGCTGCGTGGCGAGGCTGGGACCCATCCTGATTTAGGGCTGTCCTGGAGGCTGCGGAAGCTCTTCCCACCCGACCTGCGGGTCTGGATCTGTTATCCTCACGGGGCACATCCTCACCACCCACCAGGACAAGAGGCAAGATCCTCAGGACAAAGCCAAGCGAGGCTCTCGAGGAGGTGGCGACGTGCGGGATGCGCTCCTTGCACGGCGCTGCTCGCCCGGGCGCACGCTGGGGACAAGGAGGGGGACAAGGAGGTCCGGTCCCTTCCTCGCCCCCCCTCCGCCTCTGCCCATCTGCTAGGAGAAAGGGAACAACACCACGAGCGTGCCAGATTGTTCCTCGGTGAATGGTCCGAGCTGAACCGTCTGGAACGACGTCTGGAAAAAAAGGAGCAGCGTTTCCCACAGCGGCGGCTTTTAAATATTAGTGCGTGCGGAGCCAAGTGTGAATAATTCATTCAAAGGGAGACATGAGCTCAGTTTTCTTATGCAACGGGCGGACAAAGAGCCG